AAAACGAAACAAGGTTTCCTTGCCATAGTGAACGACCAGAGATGGCTCCTGTAAACATACGCAAACATGACAGGCTCCACGGCGCCAAACCTTCGCTTAACATCTCCCCACCCTTCTTTCCTCTCATCCCAAATTAAGACAGACCACAAAATACAAAGAATGGGTTCACAACGGTTGGTCTCAGGGCGCTAGGTCGACTCACGGCGGATGTCCACCACAAGCTTGTAGCAAACAAACATGCACCAAGCGTGCAAGGCTTCAATCAGACTGCCGAAAAAAGCAGCTGACCATTGATCCGTAAGCTTGATTGCTTTCGATCAAGAATATCATACAGGCCAAACGCTTTCTCCCCAGCAATTCTCAACCCTGACAGGTTTTCCAAACTTTTTGCTCCTTCAAGAGATCGAAAAAGGTGATTTTTCTGGACACCAGTTTGGGGTCCAAAAACCCTAGCAAAAACCGGTCCCGCCACAGAGGGCCTCCCCAGTAGGGGGGAAGAGGTATAGACCACCCACCTAAGTGGGCAGATATATGGGGACATCTCCTAGGAAAGTGTTCAGTAACAGCAAACGTAGGTGGTGCAAGCGCAACCACCTACAAAAAATAATCGCGCCCTCTTTTCTGCCATTCTCTCTCGGTTTCTCTGTCAGACCGTGAACGTCTGACTCCCACATCAATCAGCTATGCTTTGCCACCAAGTCATCGTTTGTCGCGCTGCAATCAGTTTGAACTAGCCAAGGCACACCTGATCCAAAACTCTGGTAGCCAAAGCAGCCGGCTTCACAATCTCATCAAATTCTCGCTGGGATCCATCCTATCAGGGGGCTACCTTTATCTGGGATCCATCCATTCGAGCACAAACATAATATTATTTGGCAGGTGGGCTACCTGTCATCTACCCCCAAAATAAATAGTTACTCGAATATTATTAATGATGTCCCTGGGGTAAGCCTTGCCCCCCTTACTGGTTCCTTCTACTAAACTCCTCAATGTTTTCAACCTTTTCCATATTTTCCATGGAATAAGTGGCAAATACTGGCAACATTCCCCCCACCTTATTTACTATTTAACAGGTCGTTTAGGGGGTACCCCACCCCTGAAATAATTTTATGGAACATTCCAGTCAATCAGTCGATCTACTAATTATTTCAGAGGTCCCTTAGGCCAGCCCCACCCCTGAAATACGGCGATTGTTTGACATGCCTTGGACAGAGATCTTGCTTGTCCTCAATATTTTCCATATATTCTCCCGGATCGGCTGCCCCATCAAGGCAAAAAGACTGGACAGACGTTCACGGTACCGCAGAGAAACCGAGAGAGAATGGCAGAAAAGAGGGCGCGATTATTATTTTGTAGGTGGTTGCGCTTGAACCACCTACGATTGCTGTTACTGCACACTTTCCTAGGAGCTGTCCCCATATATCTACCCACTTAGGTGGGTGGTCTATACCACCCCCCCCCATCTTATCATGCTGTGTGGTTTATTATTTCTGAACTGTATTACCTCCATAATAATTCTATGCTCAGGTGGGTACACCCACCTAAAAATAATAACTTTATTATTTTGAGGTGGGTGGGAGGGAGGGTGGTCAGCTGGCAGCCCCTATGTTGGGAGTTACCGGCAGCACTTTTGGCTGGAGAAGTGTGGTGGTGATGGTTGCTGATGGTCCAGGGGCAGCTCGCGGGAAGGGACTGGACCAACGGTCGAACCTTGGAGGACCAGTTGGTGGAGGGAAAGCTGTGGGCTGAGGAATCTGTGGATCTGGTCTTGGAAAGCAGGCGGCAGCTGTTTGGGGTGGCTCCATGTGTGTCGTGGGGCACTGATGCTGCTGCATGGCTGAGAATGGAGGGATTTGCTGTGGTGGCCTGTGGCGAGAGCTTCGTGCTCCCCGGTGGGCAGACCCCGAGGAGTGTGGACAGGATGGTTGCGGCGGCGCAGGGCGCTGCCCATGGTATAGGGTACAATTCAAGCGCCACAATTGTGTTGCTCGTAACCACCACGGGCATGTTTTGTGACAAAGCTTCGTGGAGCATCGTGTCTCGCCGCGAGGGCTCGGTGCTGCAGCCGGGCGGAACAGGACCTCCTGCGGGGCAATCTATGTGTTCTCAGAGCTTGGTGGCAAGGTTGACAGGAAGGGCCAACAGAGGATCTGCTACACCGGAGCTGGAAGAGTGGGTTCGCGCGGGCGGAGCGACAGGGCGCTGCCCATTAGTTTCACGGCCGGAAGGAAGGGGACTGCGCGGCAGACCTGCCTGAGGGCCGAAGTGGTGGCTGTGAAGGAGAACAAGGACGAGATGTGTGCGGGACAGCAATGGGTCGTGATTGATGACCATGGCGTGACTTGCAGGAGGCAGCCGGCGCTGAGGTTGCTGCAGAGGCTGGAGGAGGTGGCTCATAGAGCGGAGATGTTTCGCGACATGGGGGCTGATATCTGGAGCAGAAAGTGGGGCTCCTAGAAAAAAGTGGAGTAGACAAAGCCTAGAGCATTCCTAGGAAAATGCTGGAAAAGCCTTTGAAATCCCACAAATCCAACAGAAAACGTGACAAAATCTAGGAAAAAGCAAGGGCATTGGCCGGGACCACGCCGCGACCAGCCCGGACACTGGCATAAAATAGGTTAGCAAAAGGTAACAATTTTTTGGGGAAATCTGGTAACCTAAAAACAAGAGGAAACTAACAGAAAACGTGCCGTGGATCTAAACAAAGCCAAGAGCATTCCTAGAAAAAATCAAGGGTATTGGCCGGGAACACTGGCATAAAATAGGTTAGCAAAAGGTTAACAATTTTTTGGGGAAATCTGGGAACTATTCTGCCGTTGTCTAGGGGCTCCGTCTTGTGTTTTGGGTTCCCTCGCTTTCGAAGAAACATGCCGATCCATTTGCCGTGCTCTGTTCTGCCTACTGTGGGGACCCGGGGAGCGAAGATGTCGCCCCACCCCCCTGCCAAGGGTTCAAAACCGGGTCCCGCAAAGGAGGGTGATGGTAAGACCCCAAAGAGCGCTCGTAACCACCAGGGGCATGTTTCGTGACACATCCGTTACTTTCTACACCACAGAAGCGGGGTGTGCGTTGTAGTGCGCGTTCCCTACCGACGAGTCCTCGTCTATGTCCCCCTGTCCAGGCACTCTCTATCGCCGAGGACCCCTCGCAGGCCAAACTGCAAAGGTGGGTTCCACGATAGAGGACGCGCTGTGTCCTGCGCCCCGTGGCGGCGCAGGGCGCTGCCCATGGCCTAGGGTACATTCGCAGTGAAAAAAGATGCGCAGCAATAGGTTAACCAATTTTGGGGGAAATCTGGGAACCTAAAAACAAGAGGAAATACTAGAAAATTCTTGGAGAAGCATCCAGCCAAAAACGTAACAAAATCTAGACAAAGCCTAGAGCAATCCTAGGAAAATGCCGGAAAAGCCTTTGAAAATCCTACAAATCCAACAGAAAACGCGCCGTGGATCTAAACAAAGCCAAGAGCATTCCTAGAAAAATCAAGGGCATTGGCCGGGAACACTGGCATAAAATAGGTTAGCAAAAGGTTAACAATTTTTTGTGGAAATCTGGGAACCTAAAAACAAGAGGCAATGCTAGAAAAATCTTGGAAAAGCATCCAGCCGAAAACGTAACAAA